CGGCCAGACGTGGCAGCAAACCGCATGTTGCTGCGCGCATTGCAGCGGCGCGGCGCTCTTACGTGCAGCAGGTGCAATAGCGGCTGCTGCTGCAGCAGCTGCAGCAGCCGCAGCAACAGCAGCAGCGGGGAGGACGGGGAGTTGGCAGCGGGGGAGGTGCTGGCGCGGGTTGTTGTTGCCTCATCGTATTGCGGTTTATCTGCTGCTGCTGCTGGAACGCCGCAAGGCAGTAGCAGCAGCAGCAGGGGCAGCAGCAGCAGCGATGCGAGCATTCAGTACTCGCAGCAGCAGCAGCACGAAGGCGAGCAGCGGCAGCGCAGCAGCAGAAGCGGCAGCTCGAAGGAGTTGGCCGAGCGGCTGCTGAACAGTTCGGCCCCCTGCAGCGTCCGGGTGCTGCTGGAGTCTGCTGCTGCTGCTGCTGCTGCACTGCCGGAAGACCTGCTGCGGCTGCGGCAGCAGCAAGTGCTGCAGCGGCGGCTGTCGCTGCCGGTGGGCTGGGGCGCCCTGAAGCTGGGCTCTGTTGACCCTGAGGTGTACGTACACTCCAAACTAGCCATTTTGCCTTTAGAGCTGCGCTGCGAAGTAGTTACTGTTGCGCCGCTGCAGCAGCAGCAGCAGCAGCAGCCGAGGAGCCAGCAGCAGCTGCAGCCGCCACACTTCACTTGGGACCCCTTGGATGAGGAGACGCTTCCTCAGCAATTTGCTGCTGAGGAGTTCTCCGCTATTGGCGAGTCAGCTGCTGCTGCTGCTGCTGCGTGGGGCAGCGGAGCCGCAGCTGCGGGAGCAGCAGCAGCAGCAGCAGCAGCAGCAGCAAAACGCGCCGGCGCCGAGCGCTACGTGTACGTACACTCCCCGCTGGCGCAGCAGCAGCGCCCAAGACTCCGCGTAGAAGCAGATGGACTTTCTTGGCCTTCTTTCAGCAGCGCTTGTGCTGCTGCTCTGGCTGTGGGGCCCCACCCGCGTCGTGCAGCAGCAGCACGCAGGACCCGTCTCCGCTGGTGCTGCAGCAGCTGCTGCAGCAGCTGCAGCAGCAGCAGCATCTGTAGCAGCGGCTGCAGCGCGCAGTCCCACGCCACAGCGAGCTCGCGGGAGCGGCAGCAGCAGCGCCACTTGCTGCTACAGCAGCTGCAGCAGCAGCAGCAGCAGCAGCAGCAGCAAGGCGACAACAGCGTCTTCTGGCAGTGGCTGCAGCGGCAGCAAGAAGTCTTGTCGCCCCCTGAGTTCGCCGGCGTCTGTCTTGGGCTGTCTCTACAGGGGCAGCTGCAGCAGCTGCGAGCAGCAGATTGGATTCGGCTGCTGCAGGGGGCCCCAGCTGACTGCAGCACGGCTTTGTCTGGGCTGCTGCTGGCTGCCTGCTGCAGCAGCATCAGCAGCTGCAGCACCAGCCTGCGCCGCCTGTGTCTGCTCCACCTGGCCCCTGCTCCCCTGATGGCAGCTGCCGTGCTCAACAGCAGCAGCAGCAGCAGCAGCAGCGGCAGCGGCGCGCCTACAGAGGCTGCTGCACTTGTGGGTTTGGGTTTGCTGCACTTTGGGTCGGCTGATCCAGCTGTCACGGCGACGCTGCTGCAGCACCTGCTGCGGCCGCCTTGGCTGCAGCAGCAGCAGCAGCAGCCGCCGCCGTTCGAGGCTCACCAGCAGCAGCAACAGCAGCAACAACAGCAGCAGCAGCAGCAGCAACTGCAACTCCTTCAGAGGCATGTCTACGCCTTCAGCGCGGCCTGGGCTTTGGGGGCTGTCTGGGCCGGCCATTTTGCCCAGCCCAGGAGCTGCTGCTGCAACGCCAGCAGCAGCAGCAGCAGCAGCAGCGAGAACATAGAGGCGTGGACTGCGGAGCTGCTGCTGATCGCCAACCTCACAACCCCCTGGCCTTGGGGAGCAGCAGCAGCTACGAGCAGCAGGGGAGGCAGGGGCCCCAGCGGAGAGGAGCCTGCGCTGCGGCGGTGCCTGTCGCTGGTGACAGCAGCAGCAGCAGCAGCAGCAACAGCAGCAGCAGGGGAAGCAGGGGCCGTGCGGGGGCCGCAGCCTTTGGTGCTGGGCGACGAGCACGCGCGGCTGCTGCTGTCTCCCTGGGGCTTCGGGCACTTGAAAGGGCAGCAGCAGCAGGACGCCTGGAGCAGCACCAGCAGCAGCAGCCGCTGCAGCAACGCGCATGCAGGCGGCGTTGATGCCTCTTTGCTGGGGCCCCCTGCTGCTCTCGCCTGGGGCCTCATCTACTTCAGCAGCGGAGATGAAGCAGCAGCACGCGCGCTGCTGCTGCCAGCCACAAGTCTGCAGCTCGAGGAGTGCCTGCCCAACACTGTGGCTTACAAGGTGAGCAAGCAGCAGCAGCAGCAGCAACAGCAACAGCAACAGCAGCAGCAGTAGCAGCAGCGGCAGCAGTAGCAGCAGCGGTCGCAGCGTGCTCCGTCCTCTTTCTCACCGTTTTGCTGCGTGGCTACCTCAAGTGCAGCACGGCGTAGACTGCCCGCCTGCTGCTGCTGCTGCTGCTGCTGCCCTGGTGCTGCTGCTGTTGCCTGCGCCTCTGTGTCTCTAGTGCTTCTTTTTGATTTCCCCCCTTCTCCTTCTTTAGATTCCGTTGCTCTTTGCGGCTCACCACATAAACTGCAGCGAAGTGTCCTGCTGCTGCTGCTTGTGCTGCTGCTGCTTGTGCTGCTGCTGCTTGTGCTGCTGCTGCTGCTGCTGCTGCTGCTGCTCTTAGATGCTGGCGCGCTGCCTCATTCGCTTTCGCTCTATAAGACCCTCCCACTTATGGGTGGCCTCGCAGCTGCCGCCCATTATCAGGGTGCTGCCCAGCGACGCCCCAGTGCCTGCAGCAGCAGCAGCAGCAGCAGCAGCAAGAAAGCCATCCACGGTGCCCTGCATGCCCTATGCGCACCTAGTGAACCCAGAGACCGGTTTGCTGCTGCCTCGTTCCAGCACCAGCAGCAGCAACAGCAGCAGCAGTTGCAGCAGCAGCAGCAGCAGCACGAACTGGAGCAACTTGAATCTGTACAAAGCCAACCTGGTGCGGGCGCACTGCATTGCTGCGTTGCTGTGGGGCCTGGGGATACGGTTTGCTGGCAGCAACGACCCTGCTGCTGTGCTGCTGCTGCTGCAGTACTACTCGGTATTTGCATGCGCGCGTATTGCTGCTGTGGAACCTCAGCAGCGGCCGCTGCAGCAGGAGCAGCAGGAGCAGCAGCAGCAGGACGAGCAGCAGCAGGTGGTGTGGGTCCCGTCGCTGCCAATTCGCTGCCCCATTTTGCAGAAGGAAGTGGGGCTGGATGCAGCAGCAGCAGCAGCGCTGCTGCGCTGCTGCTGCTGCGCTCTGGCCTGCGTGGCTGCTGGGACCGGCAGGGAGGACGTTTTTGCTGTGCTGCTGCGGGAGCGGCGCCGCCTCAGCACTGGCGGCAGCAGCAGCAGCAGCAGCAGCAGCAGCGGGAAGGGCTACGCGGAGCAGCTGCTGCTGCACCACTGCATAGGCCTGCTGTTCATGGGTGGCTGCCGCTGGTCGCTGCAGCGCAGCAACAGCCTTGCTGCTGCTGCGCTGCTGCTCGCCCTGCAGCCGCTTGCTGCAGGCGCCCCCACAGATGCCTGCAGCAGCAAGTTGCTGCAGCAGGCCGAGCGGCACTTGTACGTTTTAGCTGCTGAGCCCCGCTACTTGCGAGCAGCAGAAATGCATGCAGGGGTTTCTGTGCCGCTGCCGGTGGAGCTGCTGCTGCGGCGCGACCGCCCGAGCAGCAGCAGCAGCAGCAGACTCAGCGCCGCAAATGCAGCAGCAGCAGCAGCTGCTGCTGCTGCTGCTGCTGGCACTCAGGTGTACGTACGCCGTCTGTGGCTCCCCGCTATCCTCCCAGAAGCGCCTTACATTTTAGGGCTGCGGGTGGCGAGCAGCAAATACTGGCCGCTAGCTGTCAGCAGCTGCAGCAGCAGCT